TCCTCCCCTTGTCCTTCCTGGGAGAGGGAGGGGGTGAGGGAGGGTGGTGGTGGTATACTCGTCCGAGCCCCGAACACGCCGCGTCCTGGCCGGGCGCGTCCTGGGGCCGGGGATCGACAGCTGCAGAACGCCCCCCGGACTCGGCCAGGAGGGCGTGCACGCCGATCCTGGGCCTGTTGGCACCAGCCCAGCCAGGGTCGGTGCAGCTGCATAGCTGGCGCCCTCCAGCACTCTCCCGTGCCTGGGGGGCCACGTGCGAACCCTACCCCTACCCCCCACGACTTCTGAGGGGGAGGGTTCGCATTGTGGCCCCCCGGTGTCACCGCGGACGCTCTTCGAGCCACACCGAGGACGGTCGGGAGACTCTTCATGGGGGGGATCCCATGGGGGGATAGGATCCCAGGGGGGGGATCCCATAGGATCCCCCCCCATGGAGAGCCACACCGAGGACGGGCACGTCCGCGCAGAAGCGCCGGTAGCCTCGCAGAGGAGCCGGCGGGCCCAGTCGCTGCGGGGTCGGCACGGTCGAGGCCGAGATCCCGAGCGGGGGGCGCCCCTCTGGTCGAGGATCGAGACTCGAGGATCGGGGATCGGGGAGTCGAGGACCGAGGACCGACGATCGAGAATCGGGCATCGAGGATCGAGAACCGAGGACAGAGGATCGAGGACCGAGGATCGAGAATCGGGGATCGAGGATCGGGGATCGAGGCCCGAGGTTCGAGGACCGCGGAGCCCCACGGCCCTCCCAAGAGCGGGAACTTTCCCGTGGCCCCCCAAGCGGCGACAGACCAGAAAGTGAGTGACCAGAGGTCCCTTCTGGGAGGAGGAGGAGGAGGAGGAGGAGGAGGAGGAGGAGGAGGAGGAGGAGGAGGAGGAGGAGGAGCAGCAAAAGACCGGGAGAACTGACCGAGCCCGACAGCGAAACCGACACCGACCGAAGCCGGCAGGCCGCCAGCGGCTTACAAGTCGAGTACGCCTGGGGGGCCAGGTCTAGAGTCAGGTCGGACATGTCCTCCTACAGACGGACTTGGGAGGATAACTAAAAATAGTCCACAAAAGAAACTAAAATATAGAAAATAGTCGCAAACTCGTCCCCAGGTTGTTTTAACCATTGTTGAATACTCCTCCTGTAGAGGGACATGCCCGACATAAGGATCGGGGCGCAGGGCGCTCGGGAGGCGTGCCGCTTTCTTCTTCAAGCTGCAGTGTCTGCTTGGGATCAGCTGGCCGACACGAGCGACGCGCCGACACCTCCAGAGTGGCACCGACGACCAGAAAACACAACTGCCAGGCTCCTGCGCGCCTGAGCATACGCAGCCCACAAGAGCCTGGCCCAGGAACACACTCAACCCACAAGGGCGCAGCGGCGCAACACCGACACGACAACCGACCGGACCGAACCTGCCGAGCACAGCCGACTGCGACTCGGCCGAACCGACCGCTCTCCCGCGAAGGTCTGCGGGCCACGACTCGCTGGCGGCCGCTTGGGGCACTTCGAGCACCCCGGGAACGCCTTCGGCGAGGCGCAGCTGCTGGAGAGCATCTCGAGGCGAGAGCAAACCCTGGGAGCCTACGAGAGCGCCCGACAACCCAGAGCCCCTGGCCGGATCGAGGAGGGACCTCGTCCTCCACCCCCAAGATGCGAGGGGGAGAGAACCCAGACCCCGCTCCCACGACAGCAAGGCCCGGGGACCGGGAAAAGCCCGGCGCAGCCGAAGAGTCACTGCGCCGACCCTGCAGACGTGCTGCAGCGGATGTTTGTGGATTCCTGCCAATGAACAATCCCGAAACGGCGAGTGAAAAACGAAGTGGATTTCGCGTGGATGTTTGTTGTCCTCATTCCTGGCCAAAAGAATCCAGAATCCACACGAAGTTCACCTCGAAATCCGGAACAAAATTCTCCATGAGACTCCAGGCCCCTCCTCTCGTTTTTCGAACGAAATCCGCTCTGCGATGTTGGCGCGATGACAAAAGGCGCGAAATCACAGGTCAAAGTACAGACAGTATCAGAACCTGCAGAGCGTGCCCTTTTCCACATCATTTCTTCGGTGCGGATTGTCTGCGCGCATCGTCTCCTCCTCCGTCGTCGTCGTCGTCGTCGTCGTCGTCGTTGGCGGCGGCGGCGGCGGTGACAGCGGCGGCGGCGGCGGCGGCGGCGTGGTGCGTGTTGCTCTGCTCGGGACCATGTTTCCTCTATGACGTGGCCACCCACTACCGCATCCTCCTCCGCCTCCCTCCCCCCCCGCCCACCCTTCGCTCCCGCGACGGCGGGGGAGGCCCGCCTGGAAGACCTCCAGAGCCTGCAGCACACGGACCAGACCCTTGGGGGGCAGCGCGCCGCCGCCGGAGAGCTCCGCGGCCCGGCGCGACAGGCGGCAGGCGCCCTCGCGGAGCGGCTCCCGCTCCGGGGCGGAGCGCCCCTTGGCGCGCTCCGCCAGCGCGCGGCAGGCGGCGGCCGCGGCCGGGGCCTGGAAGCTGGCGGCGCAGCCTGCGGCCAGGTGCTCCAACAGCGCAGCCTCCGCTGCCGCGCACAGCGCGGCGTGCCCCGCCCCGCCCTGCAGCAGCAGCGCGGGCAGCAGCGCGGCGTCGCACTCGGCGGCGCGGGCCGCGAGCCCCTCCGCCCACGCCTGGCCGCAGGAGTGCCTCGGGATGCGCAAGGACAGACTTGTGCCGTGTGCCTCTGCGGGAGACGCACGCCCGAAACGCACGCGTGCAGAACGAAGTCCCGTGGCATGTCGTTGCCCGAGCGGTGTGGGCAGGAAGCGCCCGCCACGGCGCTCATGCTACACGCGTTCCGAGCGTGCGCGTCGCCCTTGCGTGGCCGACGCGCACAAAAGCATGCTTGAGCGGCGCCGATGCCTGGGGAAGGCCAGGAGCGCCAGCAGCACGGCGTCGGCGCTGGCCACCGGCAGGTCGGCGCGCGAGCGCCACTCCTCCCGCGCCTCTGGGCCGAGCGCGGCCCGGATGCCGCCGGCGGCCTGGGGCTCCGAAGCGGCCAGGGCCTCCGCGGCGGCCTCCCAGTCTCCTGCCGCGGGGCACAGCACCTGCATGGTGGCGGCCAGTGCAAGCTCGCAGCTGCCCTGGAGGCGCCGCCGTCGCGCCCCGACGCACACGAGGATGCCCGCGACGCCCTCCCTGTGGCCGAGGGACGCAAAGGCCTCGGCGGCCCGGGCCACGGCGTGGTCGTCCAGCTGCGCCAGCGGCGCCGGGTCCAAGAAGCCTTCGCTCCCAGAGCCTCCGCCGCCGCTGCCGACCGGCGGCAGCAGGGCCCTGCGCAGGCAGGGGAGCATGAGGCCGTCCCTGTTGGACGCGGCCGCGTAGGACTCCAGGAGCGCGAGCACGGAGGCGGGCGGCCAGGCGGCCAGGCGGCTCGGCACCAGCTCCTGGGCCCCCGCGAGCAGGTGGGGGTCCATCAGCCCCAGGCGCTCCAGCGCCTGCAGCGCCCGCGTCGCGTCCTGGGGGCGCACCTGGCGGAGCTGCCTCGTCAGGGCGCCCGTGAGCGTCCCGAGGAGCCTCCGTCGCTCCTCGCTCAGCGGGAGGGCGCCCTCCGCGGCGCCCCCCGAGGTGTACAGCCTCGTGAACGCGTCCAGGATCGCGGGGAGCGACAGGGCGCTGAGCCGGTGCATCTCGTGGCCCACCGCCATCTCCAGGCTGGCGAGGACCCGTGCGTCCGCGGCTCCGAGCCTTCCTATCGCGAGCAGCCCAGTGAGAATGACGGGCGGCTCCAGCGCCCCCGTCTCCAGCGACTGTGCCAGGTGGTCGGCCAGAGCGCGGAGCAGCTGTCCCCCAGGAGCGTCAGGAGGGCCTGGCTGCAGCAGCAGCGACATCGAGTGGGTCAGCGCCACCGCCTCCTCGCCCGTGCAGCTGTTGACCCCACCAGCCGCAGCCCACGCGTCCAGCCGCTTGTGGAAGCCGTCGCTGCGGAATCGCAGGGCGGCAAAGGAGTCGGACAGCATGGTGTAGCCCTTGCCGGTCAGGCGCGGGTTGGCCTCCGCGGACTCCGACAGGGCGCGCAGCACGGCGGCGTGGTGGACCTTCGTGCGCGCGAAGGCCTGGGCGACGACCGCCACGTGGCCAGGCCGCATGCTGCCCGCGCTGCGGATCAAGTAGGGCGCGAGTGCTGCCATGAGCCTCTCGTCGCTCCACTTCGCGGCGCCGAAGGACCAGCACACTGTGGCCAGCTGCTTGCTGCTCAGGGAGCCCGCTGCGTCGCCCACGGCCAGTGCCGCCCTCCCCCAAAAGTCCGGGCCGTGCACCTTGAGCTTCACCGCCGCGAACACCGTGTCCGCCGTCTCGTGGGCCGTCATGTTCTCGAACTGGTGCGGGAAGAAGCCGCCCTCCTTGTTCATGTTGCGCCACATCCTCAGCTTGACCGGTGCCTCATACTGGTTGTACTCGTCCAGGCGCACCTTCCGCCTCCTCCCAAGGCCGCGGCGGGAAGCTGAAGGTTCACGGCCGACGAGCCCAAATATCCGACGTCACAAAGAAATGCAGCACGGTGAAAAACTCACGCCCGGAACCCTAGACCCCATCTCTCTGCAGCATTTTTCTCGAGCCAGATGGATCTGTGAGGTTCCGGGGGCCCCGAAACTGGGCGAAGCCACCCGATGGACCGACTGGTCCGCCTGCGCACCGGGCGTGCTGCTGCGCCAAGCCACGCGCGTGCCCAACGCGCCGTGCGACGACTGCGCGGGAGACGCGCGCGCGGCGAGCTCTGCCCACCGCCCACCCCGCCGCTGTACAGATCGCGCCCGCGAGCCTCCGCGGGAAGCGACGGCGAGCCGAGGCGGCGAGCGGCCGTGGCGAGCGGCGGCGGCGGGAAGCGGCGGCGAGCAGCTGCGGCGAGCCGTGGCTGGCCAGCGGCGGCCGCGGCCGCGGCCGCGGCCGCGGCGGCGCGCAGCCCGGCGCTCCTCCCGAAGCCGCGGCGGGACCCCGGCGCGACGCGGCGGCGCGGCTCCGGCCGCCGCGGGCGCCCGAGCCGCACGTGCCACATGGGAGGCCGGCACGTGCCGCCCGGGAGGGCGCCCCGGCTGCGGCCTCGGGGCGGCGGGGCCGAGGAGGGAGCCCAGCGCCGGAGCGCCGGGCGCGCACTCCGCCGGGGGGGAGCCCGCGCGGGCCCACCGGGGGGTCGTGGAGGCCGCAGCCTGGACGAGGGAGGCACGGGGCTCCAGCACGCGAAGCGCACGCCAGCACGGCGTCAGTTGGCGGCGAGCGAGGGGGGGGGACGGAGAAGGAGAAGACCTTCTCAGAAGGCGGCGGGACTTCTCAGAAGCCCTCGCGCCTTCTGAAAAGTACGACGTGTCTTCGGGAAGGCTTTAAAGACTTCTCAGAAGGCCGGGGGACTTCCGAGCCATCTGAGAAGGCCCGCCCCTTCTCATTTCCCCTCGCTCGCCGCAGAGTTTGGATCACCACGCACCGCTCTCAGCGGCCTGGATCCATCAGGGCGGCGGGAGGGAGGGGGGGAAGGGTCGGAGGATCCAGGGGCCGAAGCCTCTGCACGCTCGCGCGTGCTGGACTCCATTGCGACGTTCTGATCGAGCACGCACCCGGCGGGAGGTCTGGGGGTCGTCTCTGAGGTAAGGGAGGCAGTTGGAGGAAGGGGGGGGAGGGGGAGGGAGGACGTGGTGGAGGCGGAGGCGGAGGCGGAGGCGGGGGCGGAGGCGGAGGCGGAGGCGGAGGCGGAGGCGGAGGTGGAGGTGGAGGAGGTGGAGGCGAGGTCAGGTGGGGCAGGGAAGGGAGGGAAGGGGGAGAAGGGGCAGAGAGGGGAAAGGGGAGCGGGGGAGGGGGGGGGAGAGAGGAAGCGGAGGAGGTTGCGAGAGGGAAGGAGGAGAAAGGTGAGAAGAGGAGAGAGTAGGAGGAGGGAGAAGGGAGCAGCGAGGAGGGAGGGGGGAGGATAGACGAGGGATGATAGCGAATGAGGGAAAGGGGAGCAGCAGCAGCGGGAGGAGGGATGAGGTGGAGGAAGGGGGAGGCAACTCTTGACGGCTTTCTGGCACGGCACCGCACTCGTTACCCCACGCTACGGCCCTCGGACTGATCTGCCTCCCGCGCACCGCACTGGTGAGGGAGGCGCGTCCCCCCGTCGCCTGCTTTCTCTGGCTGCGCGGTACTGCCTTCACTCAGGGACTCAGGGCGTCACCTCGCCCAGCAAGTGCGCCCGCACTCATACCACGCCTCGCGCCTTGCGGCACTGCAACGTCAGCAGGCGCGTGGCACAGGATGCGTGACCTGAGGACGCCCGCGTGCGCTTCCGAGGCGCTTCTCTTCTTCCGGGGCCGCGCCCCAGCGTCTCCTCGGACTGGGCCCCATCTGCCTAGTTCACACCACGCATCCGCCAGACCTCTCGCTTGGTGACGCCCACCAAAACTGCCACGGTCGTGTCCGCTGCGCTTCCCACGGCCAGGAACTTCACAGTGTGTCGCGGCGGCGGCCCCGGCGACACGCTATGCCGTGCAAGCTGATAGCGCGTCGCTCCGCTCCGCGGGGCGGGAGGCTGGGAGCAGTTCGGGACGTTGACTCTTGGGAGAGGGACGTGGATAGTGTGTCGGGGAGAGGCGTGGTGGACCAGGACCGGCGGAGAGACACGCTAAGCCAAAGTTTTTGACCCTACCAGGCTTCTTGCATGCTGGGCTCTCGCCAGCCATGCAGATGAATCCCGCGCCTGTGCCGTGGGTCGCCCGGACAGCTCGTGCCTCTTCATGCGTGCGCGTGCAGCTCGTATGCGCGGAACAGACGTGGGGGAAATTGGCTTAGGATGGGCGGGCTGTGGCATGGAATTCTTCGGGGGGGAAGGTGTGGGAGGACCCTACGTAGGAGGAGGACGAGGACGAGGAGGAGGAGGAGGAAGAGGAGGAGCAAGAGGAGGAGGAGGAGGAGGAGGAGGAGGAGGAGGAGGAGGAGGAGGAGGAGGAGGAAAAGGAAAAACAATTATTCCGACGGAAGAACCCCACATAAGAATCCTCTGGGCGAATCTGGAAAAAGCCATCACCGTCGTCCTCGTGGTTGGTGAGGCGTCCTGGCTGTCTCTGCTGCGTATATTTCCTCTCGCCTTGGCGCGGGCCCCCCTTCCACTCCTTACGTTGTCCCCATCCTCGCCCCCCTGTTTGTTCCGCGCCCCGCCACCTCCTCCCCTTCCTGTTGCATGAGCGCGCATGTCGATGTTCCTCGGCGCCGTCGCCGCCACGGCCAGCACAGGCGCGTTCTCTACTGGTCACGTCGCGCAGCCGTTGGGACAACCCCGCGGGCCAGGCTGTCGGGACAACCCCGCGAGCCGTTGGCGCGCAAGACCAAGCCGTTGGGACAACCCCGCGGGCTTCGAGCGAGGCGCAGCCGCGCTCAGGCGGAAGGCAGCACGAAGCCCAGCTCTGCCGCGAGCTGCTTCGCCTCCGCCCTGGACAAAACCGCTCTCTTGTCGAACTCCAGGAGCGCCTTCCGCAGGGACGCCGGCGGCCCGCACTCCAGGAACTCTCGCGGCGGCGGCCGCAGGATCAGCATGTTCCGCATGCACGTGGCGCGGGAGAACATGACGTAGAGGTGCAGCCACCACTGCTCGTCCGACATGCCCGTGCGGCCAGCGTCCTCGTCTCTCGCGCAGTCGATGGTGACGCCCTTGCGCAGCGTCTGGCCCTGCGACAGCGTGGAGGTCAGGTAGGACGCGTGCGTCAGGGTGAACCCCGAGCGGCGCACGCTGTGCGCCCCCGAGCTCTGCCATGTGAACTCCCTTTCGCTGGGCCTGAACATCAGCAAGCTCCGCGCCCGCGCCTCGATCTCCCGCCTGAGACTTCCTCGCAGTTCACTCACAGACGAGGCTCCCGCCTGAGACTTCCTCCATATTCAGGCTTGAGGAGCCCAAAAGTGACGACAGTTACAGGGTTCCGATGACCCGCTCGGATTACCAACATGATCTGCGGGCCCCATAGGGAGGGAGCTCCCGCCTGAGACTTCCTCCCAATTCACTCACAGACGAGGCTCCCGCCTGAGACTTCCTCCATTTTCAGGCCTGGGGAGCTCAAAAGTGACGACAGTTACAGGATCCGATGACCCGCTCGGATTACCAACATGATCTGCGGGCCCCATAGGGAGGGGGCTCCCGCCTGAGACTTCCTCACAGTTCACTCAGAGACGAGGCTCCCGCCTGAGACTTCCTCCAAATTCAGGCTTGACGAGCCCAAAAATGACGACAGTTACAGGTTCCGATGACCCGCTCGGATTACCAACATGATCTGCGGGCCCCATAGGGAGGGGGCTCCCGCCTGAGCCTTCCTCAGAATTCACTCACAGACGAGGCTCCCGCCTGAGACTTCCTCCAAATTCAGGCTTGAGGAGCCCAAAAGTGACGACAGTTACAGGATTCCGATGACCCGCTCGGATTACCAACATGATCTGCGGGCCCCATAGGGAGGGAGCTCCCGCCTGAGACTTCCTCCCAATTCACTCACAGACGAGGCTCCCGCCTGAGACTTCCTCCAAATTCAGGCTTGAGGAGCCCAAAAGTGACGACAGTTACAGGTTCCGATGACCCGCTCGGATTACCAACATGATCTGCGGGCCCCATAGGGAGGGAGCTCCCGCCTGAGACTTCCTCCCAATTCACTCACAGACGAGGCTCCCGCCTGAGACTTCCTCCATTTTCAGGCCTGGGGAGCCCAAAAGTGACGACAGTTACAGGGTTCCGATGACCCGCTCGGATTACCAACATGATCTGCGGGCCCCATAGGGAGGGGGCTCCCGCCTGAGACTTCCTCACATTTACTCAACGATGATGAGGATGAGGATGATGAGTGGTGGTGAAGATGAGTGGTGAAGAGGATGATGATTGATTGTGAGTGGTGGTGGCGATGATGATGTTTGAATGAGGATGATGCCGATGATGATGATGATGATGATGATGATGATGATGATGATGATGATGATGATGATGATGATGATGATGATGATGATGATGATGATGATGATGATGATGATGATGATGATGATGATGATGATGATGATGTTCGTGAGCGTGTGAGAGAGTGCGAGTGATGATGATGATGAGTATGTGAGTGACTAAGCATGTGAGAGAGCATCATCGATGATGCTGATGAGGTTGATGATGAAAGAGTGTGAGTGAGTGTGAGTGGGTGTGTGTGTGTGTGTTCCTGTTCCTGCGCGGGGTGTCCAGAGAAAACAAGAACCCCACTTTGGATGTGGGGAATTAAAACACGCCCTGGGACGGCAAACGACGACGGGGCAGCGGACGACGAAAAGAAGGCGGACGACGACGACGGCGAAGCGCAGTGGAGGTGGAAGGCGGGAGGCACAGAGGTCGTCGGCGGCGCCTCAGGCGCCCGCCCCTCGCGCCCGCCCCAGGGACCGCACTCGGTGCGCCGCGCGCGGGGGCGCGCGGGCGGCGGAGGAGGCGGGCGGCGGCTGGCGGGCCCGGCCCAGCCTCGAGCCAAGGGCGGCCGCCGAGGAGCTCTTGCCCGCCCTGAGGTGGGGAGGGGAGTGGAGGGGAAGGGAGGTGCAGGTGGAGGAGGCTCCTCGTGGATCCCCCGGGCGGAGGGGAGGTGCAGGCGAGGAGGTTCGTCGTGGATCCTGTGGGCCACACCCGAGGCCAACGGCATGCACCCTCCAGACGGAGCATCGCCACCTGGCGCCAGGAGCGGATGCCCCTAAACCACATGGCCATGCAACGCCCACACGGGGTGCACCGCACAGACGACGGGCTTATCTTCGGGAGGAGGAGGAGGTGGAGGAGGAGAAGAAGGACCAGTGCGAACCCAAGACTCATCAACGATGTTGAAATACACCCTCCCTCCAAGCTCCCACTTCACCGGCCTCTACAAGGAGTCATTTCCACTGAGGGAATTGCCCCGTTGGGGGGCAAACGTGTGGAAATCCTGAGGCGTGCAAAAACACCAGTCTCAGGATGTCAACGCCACGAACTGACCTGACTGCTTCGCGATTCTGCATCATGCCAGAACACCATTCCTGGTACTCCAACACCGCGAATCAACGTAAC